CCACCACTGTTGCAAAGAATTTTTATTGGTGTTGGTTGGTGTTTGTGGAAGCAGCTAGTGCTTTTGAAGCCACCAATATTTATAAAAATCATTTATTTGCAAGGATTGATTGTTGCTAAGACGTTCTTGAATTATATGAGAGCAGAGAAGACCCATCAACAACATGAATATACACTGCAAGGTTGTAGTAGGTTTTCTGGAGTTGCATTGGACACTCTTAAAAGTTGTTCATACACTTTTTAATGCGAATATGGATACTTTAGTAACAACATGTGAGTAGAATAGTTTATTTTGAGCATGAGAAATTTGAATCATTTTCTGAGAAATTTTGGCTTGGATTTCTTGCTATTGATTTTCCAATGCAAGAGTAATTTTTTCATAAACAACACAAAGGTCACAAGTTAATACTTGAAGGTATTTCCTTAGCATCACATGAGATTCTTTCACCTGTGATGTTGTCACGTTATCTAAATGCAACCAACAATTAGTCCAAAAGCTTACAAAATGCTCCTTAAATAGTAATCATACGTCTTGCAAATATTCAATTATTGATGGCTTTTCATTATATATTTTTGTTAATTTTTTCTACTTTTCACTAAAATCTTCCTCCATTTTAGACTTTATAATGGTGGTCCAGCTTTTTAAAAAATCAGACAATTCTTCTGTAGAAAAATGATTACGACAATTGGCCAGCATATTTTTTTCAATGTGCCATATGCATAAAAAATTTTTTGATTCAGAAAAGACGATACATATAGCATTTATCAATGCTAACTCTCGGTCAGTACCAATAACCTGAGGTCTTGGAGTATCTTGGAAAATATGAGCAACACATGTAAGTGTCTATTTATAATCTTTTTGTTGTTCTGATTTTATGAATGCAAAGCAGGAGAAGAATATGGTATTAAAACTTGTCATACTAACAACATAAATAAGTAGTATTTTAAATTTATTAGTTTTGTATATACAGTCTATTAAAAGTGTAGAATCGTAAGCTTTGGTAAGTAAAATAGATGTGTGATGTGCAAAAAAGAGATGAGTTAAATGACTATTTGGATCATATTGGTGATCATACTCAACATTTTCTTCTTTAAGCTTATCGAAAAGAGCCTGAAGTGGTGTGTAATCTTGAAGGTTGTCACGTCTAATTGTATCACAAGTATTATAGATAGCTTTTGATATTGCTGCAAGATCTGGATTGTTTTGACGAAGAGCTGAAAGCATCTTCTGAGGATGGATACCTGCTACAGCATTTGCTAAACCTTTTGTAGCTCTTTGGCGTTCAATTGATGACTTGATAGGTGACCTAACATGTCTTCTAATGCCTCGTAATTGTGAATTACATTATTCACTATCAAATGCTATAGGCCATCTTTTATCTTTCTACCATAGAGTTCAAATGGACACTCCATCAATCGTGTACTTGTTGCACTTTTGATGAGTTTTATCTGTAAGATTTAAAGAGTTTCTATAGGTGCTGCCCCTATTACAGAATAAATAAATGAACTTATCCTGTTTTGATCTTTTGATGCGTATAGTATATTATTGACTGGCTGCATAAGTTTGGATGTGCTCAATAAGAGCTTTGTAGTTTGTAAAAGAACCAGTTGGAGGTAGAAGTAAAAGTATGGATTTTCAGGTTATCAATAAGTCAAAAGGGTTTTTATTTTTGATCTATTTTTACTATACTACTAATAAAAAAAAAAGTTTTTTTTTTGTAGAACTACTTAGCGAATATACTTATAACAACCAATAATTTGTAACATTTGATGCAAAGGCATATTCAATTTGGAGTATTAGTTTATAACCTTTACACCAATAATATCTATAATCAGTTTGATATACTAAGAGCTAGATGAACTATCATTCTTATATTTTGGATTATAATATAAGAAATTCAAATGTAACAATACGATAATTATCAAGAGTGTGTATAATGAAAATAAGAGTTCCAAACAAATTTGATATACAATAACTTTTTTATCAAAGAGAAAAAGATAATAAACTCAATATTATATTTGTATAAAATGATAATAAACTCAATGTTATATTCATATAAAATAAAAGAACTGATTTTAAAATAGTTTGAAATTTATTAAAATCAACAAAGCATGTTTAAATATATTTTTTATATACTCAAGCTTTACATACCGTTGTAATTCAAAATTCCTTCTTTATACAATCTATTTGTCACTTAACAATAATTCATTTAATTATCTAATTTGCACCCAAATCATATAATTTTAAACATGTAATTATGTATTCCGCAACGATCTAGTAGGCTTTAAATCCAAATTCCAAATAAAGTGCAAACTAATTTATACGCAACTAATTCAAGCAAGGTCCAATAAAATAATCTTCTATATTAGGTTGATTATGAATCCTGCTTCTATGCTCGCATTTACTTAATATGTCCTCCTACATATAACAGTAACTAGTTAAATAATTAACTATACCGAATATAGAATAGTTACAAATGCAATATATTAATAATATAGGCAACAATGATTATAAAGTGGCAAAGTGTGCATAATACTTATTCTAGTGAAGTATATCTTAGATCTAATACTACGCGCGAAAGTAGATTCGAAGATAGAAATCTAACATGCTGTATTAGAGAATGAAAAGAATAGGAAAAACAATTAAATTAAAAATTATCATAGAATTAGTAAAAATAGAACAAAAATATACTTGATCTTACATAAAGCCTCATACTTGTTCAAAGTATCAAAAGATCCTAAAATAGTTTATTAGTAAAACTTACAAAGAAGTAGTATTGTTATCTAAAAGAATTATTTTTTTATACCTGTAAGTATAAGCAATTTTGCCGAAGA